GGCAGATGGAAGGAAACACTGTGCTTCAAGTATAAATGGGATATGTTAATTAAGTTAAGTTCCCTCCCGCCACACACACACACACACACACACACACACACACACTGCATGATTGGACTAAGCTTCCGGTGTCAGAGAGCTTTATCTACTATGACTTGTTGCTCTGTTTCTAAGGCTGGCCCTGGTGAGCTTTTGAGTGCCTCACATTTCACTTGAATGTGCTTGGCAAATTGCTTCCAGCCTTCTATCATTATCAAGAATGCTCACATGTTGTATTACCCCTAACTCCAGCTTCCTACTGTACAGAGAATTAATTGATTCCCATTTCCTGTAGAGTTCCCTATTAATCCACTTAGGACTACAGAGAAATAACACTGCCTCTCAGTCCATGAGCCTGTAATGAATTTGTGCTAAGGAAAGAGATACAAATCAGCCCATTTCCTTTCAGCCATCTCCATACTCTATTGAGTGCAAAATCCTCAGCCTTGATGAAATCTTTGAAATGCACAGCTGTATGCTGAGCCGGACATGGATCTTCTTCAGTAGAAGATCTTAGTCATAAAGCCCCATTCCCTTTCCTGCCCTAGCCTCTCAAATCAGAATGGGAACAAGCTAGGATTTATTTCAAGAAAAGTGTCCTTGGGAATTTGGAAGTAGAAGAAAGTAGAGACATGTCACATTCATAATCCCAAGTGGTTTTCCTTAAAATATCACATACATATCCCCAAGCTTACCACTTATTTTAGTACTATTTAGAAATCATTTATTCTTTGAGTCATAGCTTTGTGCAATAAATCAACTACTGATCATATGGTGTGTGTGTGTGTGTGTGTGTGTATGTGTGTGTGTGTGTGTATGTGTGTGTGTGCTGGTTCTATGCTTGAGCTTAGGGCCTGAGTGCTGGTCCAAAGCTTTTTTTGCTCAAAGCTACCACTCTATCACTTGAGCCATAGCTGTTTTGAGATTAGTTGAAGATAAGTGTTTCAGGGCCATGCTGGGCAGGCTTGGAATCTGGATCCTCAGATCCTGTGTAGAGAGGATTATGGGTGTGAGCGACTGGTACCCGCCCATAGGGACTCACCCTTCAATAGACAATGCAGAGGAGGAGAGATAACACCACAAAATCTTTCTCATTTCAAGGGTCTTAATTAATATCTATGACAATTACAACAGCATACCATTAAATGCTTCATAAACTACCAACAATATACAACAGTATTATTTTTAATAAACTCCTAAGCTAGAAATGTTTCTAACTAGCCGGGCCTGGTGGCTCATGCCTGTAATCCTAGCTACTCAGGAGGCTGAGTTCTGAGGATCTTTGTTCAAAGCGATACGGGGCAGGAAAGGCCTTGAGACTCTTATCTCCAATAAGCCACTCAGAAAACTGGAAGTTGTGCTATAGCTTAAACGGTAGAGCTGTGGGTCAAGTGGTAGAGCACTAGCCTTGAACGGAAGAGCTGAGGGCCAGCACCCAGGCTCAGAGTTCAAGCCTCGTAACTGACAAAATAAAAAAAAAAATTCACACTGTCATTGACTTAAGGATGAATTTTAAAAAATAGTGTATCCACATAAAGGCAAAGTACTAAGGCACAAAAAGAAAGGACAGGCTGATAGGTGTAAGAGTGTGGACAGATCTAAAAAACACTCTAAGTAAAACTCGGGCATGAAAAGGGTTGTAAATCACATGAATCCTTAGATAGCAAACATCAACAAAAGACAATGTTAGGAGGCAGAAAGTCCATGGACCCTAGCCTAAGGTAGAGGGTATTCCCCGATACACACTCGCTTTCCCCCTAGCTAATTCAATGCAATATTGTTGAAAAAAGAAAACTAAACATTGTGTGTAAAAGTTTCAGCTTATAGAAAATAATAACCCAGGCAGGGCTGAGTACCAAAAAGTCTAAAACCAGAACGATATATTTCTGACAATGGGAAAGGAGAATCAATTCTTTGTAGCTTAAGGGAAGAAACAATTGTTAAGGGTTTTAGGAAGCTTTAGATAGAGTCAGATTTGCCAACTCCTGAGGCTTGGGCTGGTGATCCTATTCAACACACCCGAGGTAATGGGAAACTCTCAGGTGATGGAGTAATTTCAGGAGAGACTGAAAACAATGCATAAGAAACCAAACTCAGGTTACTCTTCTCTACTGCAGCAGAACTAAACAAAGCAATCACCCACTACATAGCTCAGCTCTTAACTTCAGTACTGTCATAGTCTGCCTAGAATTATCTTTATGTTGCTCATCTTTTCACCTAGTCTGGATATCTAATGAAAGAAAAGAGAAAAAAATATTATTTTTCAAAAATTTGTTATTTTTTAATTAAAAAAACATACTTTGGGGGGCTCTGCAATAGATTTAGCTACCTTTTTCTTTGTGTCCCAATAGCAACAACCAGCATCTATGTTAGAGATCACCCTAATATTTCTACCACACTAGATACTTAAAATTGCTGTCTTTCATAGTTCAAATTTCAATTTATTTCTACTACCTATATCTATCTATCTATCTATCTATCTATCTATCTATCTATCTATCTACCTACCTATTTATCTATCTATCTATCTATCTATCTACCTATCTATCTATCTATCTATCTATATCTATCTACCTACCTACCTATCTACCTACTTGTCTGTCTAACTTATTTCTACTACCTATATCTATCTATCTATCCATCTATCTATCTATCTATCTACCTATCTATCTATCTATATCTATCTACTTGTCTGTCTGTTTGTCTTTATCATGTATCCCATTTATCATCTTTCTATAGAGACATACACACAGGCAATTGTCCTCAAGTATCCACAGGAATGTGTTTAGGACCACTCCCTCCCTTCCTAGGGAATGCAAAAACTGCAATGCTCAAGTTCCTTATGAAAACAGATATAATATTTACCTATAACTTGGCATGTTCTCCTATAGACTTTAAGTTATCTCAAGACTGCTTATAGCAGCTAATACAATTCAAATAAAGCCATGTGACTAGCTGTTGTACTGTGTGCATATCACAACAGCATGCGATCTTTATTTTCAAACATTTTCCATCCAAGGAGCTATCCCCTTATTCATAACCCTTGGATAGAGAGACCTGACTGCAGAACTATACAGACTCACCCATAATTTTCAGGACAATACTGTCTGATTTAAAAGCCACAGACAGTTTGTTCTGAATATCATTTCAAGTTTAGAACCCCAGTATGAGTCTCCAAGTGCACCTGCTACTTCTCGCTGACATTGGTACAATATCTCATTAAGTCAGAATATCTACTTTAGATGAATCATTATGTAGAGTTCTTAATAATTTTGAGTCTATACAAAGGCCATTTATAAAATAAATTTAAAAGATTCAAAGACATCCTCCAACTAAAACCCTTTCAACACATCACCCACAGGTTATGGGGTGACTGTCTTACAACCCTTCTGTCTGGAGCTGACCTTGGTCCCTCCTTCTTGCATTAAAGGTAATTATTCTCCTGAATATTCCATTGAGCATACTTGTTTTCACTAAACATTTACCATCTAAAATTATTCTCCTAACCAATATTTTATTACATGGTGTGGTATTTCACCAAGATTTGTTTTTTTATGATTGAATATCTTTTTCAAAGCTAATGGTATTGTCTTCATGAATAAACCAAAATGTTTATGCCAGTCCACCATGAGCAAATAATCTTAATGTGTGCAGGCTAAAGAACATCAGAGCAAATGAAGAGAGTTGTTGGATCACACCTAAGCTTGTCTTTAAGGAAGTTAAGGTAAAATAAAGTAAAATAAAATAAGTAAAATAAACCATCAGTGCTAGCTCGGGGCTAGGGTATCTTCATGTTTCCACTGAATCTGCTATTCTCAGGTACAATCACTCCCCATTACATAAGAACAAACGCTTTTCTTATTTGGGTTACCATTGATTACTAATGATGCTAAACACATTTGTACATTCTTATTGACCATTCCAGTTTAAGGTTAAAGTTTATATATTTTGCTACTTTGTCATTTTAAAGCTTTATTTATCACTTCCAAATATATTGATAAATAGGTGGGATTTTAATAATTGGCTTTATCAATGATTTCTGAGATGTATCTTACCTTTTATTTTCTTTATAAAACATTTTGGCAAATAATCTAAAATAAAATATAGTCAAATAAATTGCTAATGAGTCCCTTCATGGGGTTCGGTGTAAGTTTAGACACTTCCCTGGGGTCATAAATGCACTCATTATCGTAATCAATGTTTTCAATCTTCTAATTTAAAAAATAAAAGGTATTTTCTCATTCAGAGTGAGGTCTTTTATCCATTTAAAAAAAATTTTTTTTTGGTTGTGGGGCTTGAACTCTGGGCCTGGGCACTGTCCCTCAGCTCTTCAGCTCAAGGCGAGCACTCTACCACTTGAGCTACAGCGCCACTTCCAGTTTTCTAGTGGTTTATTGGAGATAAGAGTTTCATGGACTTTCCTGCCCGGGCTGGCTTTGAACCACGATCGATCCTCAGATCTCAGCCTCCTGAGTAGCTAGGATTACAGGCGTGAGCCACCAGCGCCCGGCCCATTTAAAATTCTTTTAAAAATACAATATGAGGTAGAAAGCTGGATATATGCTGTCTTCCTGCCTACCTCTCTCCTTTCCTCCCTCCCTTCCTTCTTTCTTCTGTTCCTTCCTTCCTCCTCCTCCTCCTCCTACTCCTCCTCTTCCTTATTCTTTCTTCATTTTCTCTCTTTCCTTTCTTTGCTAGTACTGGGGCTAGAATTCAGGGCTTTAAGCTTTTGCTTTGCCTTTTCTTTCAAGGCTGACATTCTATCACTTACGCCAGATCTCTACTTCCAAAACATGCTGTTTCCAAAGGATGTCCAAATTTTAAGTTTCAAGACCTAGAATTGTCCTTAAAAATTAAATATAAAGGCTGATTTAATTTATAGACATTTTGTTTAAGATTCAGAGGCTAGTTTAGTATTTTCTAAAAGAATTGTAAAACAACATCTCCATTCTAATACTTACTTGGGACTATAAAATCGATTTCCTCTGACATGGCAACTCCTAGGGTGTTAGAAGCAAAGCAGCGGTATTTGCCTTGAAAGTGAGATACGTGTCCCTCATTTGGGATCTTGAATGTGCCTGAGCCGTTAGACACAATTATCCGGGGATCAGAAAGATGGAAAGGCTTGTCATCTTTAGTCCATCTAAATCTGCAAGAAAAATAAACAAATTCATCCCACAAAAAGAACATTATTTTTAACCACAGAAATACTGACAAAATGACAAACCAAAATAATTTAAGAAACTTACACAATAGAATGTTTAATATTATTAGAAAAAATCTCTGAAGAATCTTCCAAATTGTAAAAAATCAGTAAGAATAAAACTATGAATAAGGTTGTAAATAAGAATATATTTGAAGGTATGTTTTGTCTCCTTCCTTCCTTCCTTCCTTCCTTTCCCATCCTCTCCTTTCCTTCATACCTCCTTCCTTCCTCCCTTCCTCTTTTTTCTTCCCTTCCTTCTTCCCTCTCTCCCTCCCTCCCTCCCTCCCTCCCTTCCTTCCTTCCTTCCTTCCTTCCTTCCTCCCTCCCTCTCTTCCTCCCTCCCTTCCTTCATCCCTCCCTTCCTTCTTCCTTCCTTCCTCCCTTCCTCTCTCCCTTCTTTCCTTCCTCCTTCCCTCCCTCCCTCTCTTCCTTCCTCCCTTCCTTCCTTCCATCCCTCGTCCATTTCTCTTTTTTCTACCTTTCTCTTTTTCTCTCTTTTTCCTCTTTCTTTCTCTCTCTCTCTCCTTCCTCTCTCTTTTTCTTTTCCTCCTTCCCCTCTCTTTCCTTCTCCCTCCCTCCCTACCTGTCTCTTTCCCTTCCTTCCTTCCTTCCTTCTTTCATTCCCTCCTTCTTTTCTTTCTTTCTTTCTCTCTTTCTTTCTTTCTTTCCTGGTTCTGTCATTCCCTCTTTCTCTCTTTCTCTCTTTTTTGTCTTTCCTGGCCTGGCCTGGGTGGGCCCTGAACTTTTTTGCTCAAGGCCAGTGCTTTACCATTTGATCCACAGCTCTATTTCTGGCTATTTGCCAGTGGCTGGGGTTTGGGGGAAGGTTGGTGTTGACATTTGGAAATAAGAGCCTTATAGACTTTTCTGCCAGGATGGCTTCTAACTGCTAGCCTCTTAAGAAGCTAGGGTTCTAGAATAATTTTGAAAATTATTTAATTTTTCTTAGTTAGAAATGCATGGCAGGATTATCTCTGATTTTATCTTGAGGCTGGAATAAAGGTAAATATATAATAATCTGTATGTGTGTGTGTGTGTGGTGTGTGGTGTGTGTGTGTGGTATGTGTGGTCTAATGCACTCACGCAAAATCAAAATCACAAAGCACTGCTGTTTTTAAACAACCTTGTCAAGCATTTGAAACTGTACCAAATATATAATTTGTCATTACTTTTTCAGTTTTACAATGGTACTAAATAAAATCCTTTTGACTGCATCATTTTCTATCCTGTTTGCTATTTTATTAACACCCATTTCAATTCATTAGACTAATATTAGAATACATTTTTATGGTTGTTAGTAAATATTACAGAATTGCATTGCAGAAAAACATGCAGTTCAATGCCGACACAGGTATGAAATATCCATTCTATAGGTACAGAAAACCTTATGCAACATAGGTTAAATAACTCAATTTTAATTTTACACACAAAGCTCTCTTCACTTGGTAACCTGGAGCTTTAATCATATGTAGATTTAGAGTCCAACAAGTTTTTTTTTCAGATTTTTAAATACAATCAATGATAGCATATGGTTAGAGTATTTAGTAGTTTGAAGAACACTCACGTTGGTTCTGGATTTCCTTTAGCTTCACATTCAATTTGAAAATACTCGTCAAAGGGAAAGGCGACTTGTTCTCTTGACTGTTTTGTGATTGTTGGAACCTGTTGAACTAAATGTTAAAATGCATACTTAAACAACAAGTTTCTCCAAAAGTGGACAAGGTTACTTGGGTTATGAGAGGCACAGGTTATCTGTGCTTTCTATGTTGGTAATAAAAAGGTGATACTAGAGTGCAAATTATATAACGTATCTGACTTCCTATTTGAAAAATATATTTACTTTGAATGAAGGTATGGTCATTATATCATGTTGCCATAGGCAGTCATTTTTTACTTCATTCCAGTATAATTACAAATAGTTTTTAAAGCAAGAGAAAAATGTTCATGCTGCGTCTATTCAGACTTTAATGATGTGACGACCTTTTTACTTAGTCGGATCATTTCAAAAGTTCATTTCATATTTCTGCATGCTTACATGGAGACATTACAACTAATGAACTGCTTTGTACATCGTTTCTTCCCATCAGTATGCTGTCATTTGTTTGACAATTATCTTGTTGTTGGACCTTAGTCTATTTGCCATATCTGTCTTTCCAGGTGACATGTATTTCAACTGATCTCTTTGAGCATATGGATTTCTCTTCTATTGAATTATCACCTTACAGTAAATTTCCACTGATGGACATGAATACAATGACTTTGGATAGTTGCAATATACATATATATATATATATATATATATATATATATTTGGTGGTGGTGGTCATGGGGCCTGAACTCTGGGCCTGGGCGCTGTCCCTCAGCTCTTTAGCTCAAGGCTAGTGTTCTACTACTTGAGCCACAGCTCCACTACTGGATTTTTCTGCTTATGTGGTGCTGAGGAATCAAACCCAGGTCTCATGCATGCAAGGCAAGGGCTCTACCACTAAACCACCTTTCCAGCCCAGTTGCAAAGATATTTTAACCAAGGGATATTTACCACAACCAGTGTATGAACACAGTGGCTGCCCATAACCTTGACACCATCAGACACTAGCAGGCAAGAATGAGTTTTAAAAATCACTTTTCATGCCAGAAACCAGTGGCTTAGGCGTATAACCCAAACTAATGAGAGAGCTGAGATCTAAAGATCCCAGTGAGAAACTAACCCCAGCATCAAAGTCCATGAGAATCTTACCTCCAATTAACTTCTAAAAGTCATACGTGGAGTTGTGACTCAAGTGGTACAGCACCAGCCTTGAGCTAACAAGCTCAGGGACAGTGCCCAGGCCCTGAGTTCAAGCCCCAAGTCTGGCAAGGGATTACCAAGAGATAATTCTTTTATTTTGATTTCCATTTATTGCTTTCCATAAAGTTATATTATAGTTGTCATTTCCCATTGATACCCCATTATTTTATCTCTTTTTACCATTTATCTATTAAGAGTTGCTTATTTTTAATAAGGTGTAACACAAAAATAATCATTGTCACAAATATTATAGCTACTTTTAAACAAATATACTCAAATATTCCCCTCATGTTACAAAAAAAATGGTGTTTGGCAAGTTAAGTAATTCTGAAGGCAAACCTAATTTTTTAAACAGAAAGGAAAAGGTTTTGCTTTTTGTTTTTCAAGCAGCTAGACTATCCATTTCACCAATGAGCTTGCAAAGCAAATGGACTACAATTGACTAAAAACAGACAAATAGCATGCTTGAATTTTGAGAGTCAAACTTGAATTACATTTTGATGCAGGATGCAGAAAATAATTGACATAAATATTGCAGTAGGTTCCGTAGTTTCCAATTTGAGACATTCCTTATTTGACAAAGTTCTTAGAAACTCTAATACATTCATAGAGTTGAATGTTTAGGAAATGCACACTATGGAGCAGCAGAAACTGACTTTGACAAGTCCATTCTGAACAATGCAAACTGGCAGAGAGGCTGATTTAATTGAGTGACTGTCCATTGTAGAGCTACAAATAGGACCTGAACCCCATGACATTGGCCCCATTTTGAAAGTTTGCCTCTTAAGAATTCTAAGATAACACATGTATAATAACTAACAACATTTACTATATTAGAAATTAAAATTAAACATATTATTCATGAGCTCATCTAAATGATTCTGTAAAAGGATAAACATGTTTCAGAGACATCTCAAGTACTATAGAACTTGGTGCTGACCCCGAGCTTTTTTGCTCATGGTTAATAGAGTTCTACCACTTGAGCCACAACTCTACTTCTGTTTTTATGGTGGCTAATTGAAGGTAAGAGTCTTATGGACTTTCCCTCCCCTGGCTGGCTTTGAATCTTCATCTTCAGCTCTCAGCCTTCTGGGTAACTGGGATTATAGGCATGAGCCACCAGCACCCATCCAAATACTAATTTATCTGGTAAGAGAAAATCAGACTTTCATTATGCTTCATATTACTACAGATCGAATCAGAAAAGTCCTTAGTGTTAGAAAGCTGGCAAACTCACAGTGGAGAATACGCCTTTTCCATAGTTGTACTCTTTGCTTGAACACTTAAATTTCACCAGTAACAATATTGTCAGTTGTTTATCTTAAAGTGACAGACTCACTTGGTTCCTTTTGGGGAAAATATCTCATCTGAAGTATTTTGCTCATCAGAACAACTATAATATTTCTGTCAGTTGTACTTCTAAGTAGAAATAGTATTGGGCTGAAGCAATGATACAAGTATGGAATATAGATTATCGTTCTCCTTGGAGACAGCAGAATTATTTTAGGTTTATTTTCACCTGATCTCAATATTAGAATGATTTTACTCAAGGGTGGAGAAAGAGGTAAATAATCTGAGTGTTATTGGTTTGAGAACATTAAATCAGACTCAATTTTTCTTCATTGGATATTTATAAGCATTTTACTCATATGCAAGTACACCCGTGTCACTGACATTTACATTGTTTCTGATGATTACTGTTTTGAAAGAGAGGTGGATCTTGAATTGATGGCAAACTCATGTTATTAAATTCTATCACATTTATGAATGGTGAGAGAGAATGCGCAATGACAAGAGTCCCTTAGATAACAGCTAATAACTTGGTAACAACATGTTTATTACAATGTTATTCTTCCTTAAATTTGTTGAAGTTGTAATGACTCAACAATAACTAATTATTCAGGGAATGGAGCTAATAACCTTTGGGTGTTTGTATGAATATATAGCCTATATTATAAATCCCTTCCACTATAATTAAGCCCATTACAGAGGTACCAGACTCATTGACATTCTGCTCAGATACTTGTCTTTGCTGCATTCATGAGTGAGTGCTCTAGAGGACCCAAATAAATGGGTAATATTCAGAAAATATGTCATTAATATTTTATAAGAATTGTTGTCTGAGGAAATCACAGCGTGAAAGTCCATAAGGAACTGAGACAACCAGAATAAATATCAGTGTCATGGATTAACAGCAAATTTCACATCTTTCAGCAGTGATGAATTAGTGAGGAAAGATGGAGAACATGCATGTATTTTTAGGGATGTGATGTGACATGTAATCCTGGTGCAGGCATATTGGTTGCCCCCCACCTGACACTTAACATTCCTACAATAGAATTCACTAGAGGTAAGGAAGGCTCCTTCTGTCTCCGCATAAATTTCTACACTTAGAACGCAGAGTAATGAACTTGAGTATCTGTTATGCTGGCTGTAAGTAAAGAGAGCTGTACATCCAAATATCCATAGGCCAGGGAAATTGGATCCTTAAGACCTAAGAATACTGTCAGAAAGGCCTATCCATCTGTTAAGAAAAGTAGAAATGAGATTTCTTACCTGGGTTATGGGATCTAAGCTTGCAGATATACTACGGAATATAAAATCGCCATAAGAAGAAATTGAAAGTGAACCTCAACAATGGTTTCAAAACATATTCTATTCACAGAAATGGAGGGACAGAGGGTGAACAAATGCAGCAGTGAAACTCATTAGATACTATGTTGAAAATGAACCATAAAACTTGTGGGTGGGGACAGAAGGAAAACATTGGGAGAGCACAAGGGAAGGGGTGACATTGTCCAAAAAGAAATGTACTCACTTTCTGACTTAGGTAATCATAACCCCTCTACGTAATAATGATAATTAAATAACAACAATTAAAAACAAAAATTAAAAATAAACACATACCATCAAGGTCATTGTGTTTGATTCCTGTTCAGTCTGTATGACTATTTCAGAACACTAAATCAAAATTCTCCATATCATAAACCAACCCACATGTATAAAAAGAAAAGCTGTTTATAATACTGCAGACCATCTTAGACATGTGGAATGAGAAAGATCACTGGCTGTTAGATCTGTTTCTTGTTACAGGCCAAGTGTTTTCATATGAAGCAAAAAGCATGAGCTGCAACATAATTACCACAACTAAACAGTCCCTAAAATGCAGACAAGAATTCTCATGACACATTTCTGGGGGAAAAATAATCTATGGAAATATTACAGAAAAGTTACATTCTCAATCCACAAACTTTCTTCTTAAAGTCGAGGCAATATAAAATTCCAGTACAGACTATGAATGTTCTCCCTTTACCTGATAGTGGTATTTCAACTGCTGTGGTTAATTTTAACAGGAAGAAAATTACAGAAAGGAATAGTCCTCTTCCACATGAAATCACCTCCATTGTTCTTCAAGAAGGAGACAAGGTAGAGAGATTTAAGATCTCAATGACTCGCTTTCCTTCTTCTAAGAAGAAAATCTGGATAACCTGCAAAGAGAAATAAAAACACAAAAAGAACACTTTATTCATTTATAAACTTTAAAATAGCCATATTGCAGAAATTAAATTGATGTCTCTCTTATTAATTTTAGTAAACCTATTCTCAAATAGTTCCACAAAAGTTAAAAGGTTTTTGCCTCACTAAATCTTCATAGTTCCAAATGGTAAGAGACAGCCTCGTGATAAATCTTAAACCATTCTAGTGCATTATGTTTGCAGATCAGAAGAAGCTGCATTTTAAAAGCATTCTGCACACTATAATGAGTGTCAATGGCTAGGAAAATGACTTCATTTAGCTAATTTCATTCAAGAAGGAGCTTTGTCCATCCATTTTTTACATTTACATTATGAGTCATTAGTAAGGCTCATAAAGAAACATCTTAGAATAGGCTGGTATAATAGCTTTAGAGTTCAAAGTTCTCACAAGAGTAGCTGAATAATTCTAGCAAGATTTTTTTTGAGAAAAAATAAAGAACAATTAGGCAAAGGACAGTTATTTTAAGTGAAATGTACAAATATCAGTTTGGTTTCAAGAATAACATCATAACATCATTTGTCTCCTATTTAAGCAAACGTTAATACATAACAACTTTCATAGAAATACAATCAGGATTGAAATTCCCATTTTCCTTGACTTGCTCTAATTGTTTTTCTGAAACATTGTGATAATAAACATCTAAATATTGGTTTTGGTATTGGTGTTGGTGTTTATTTGTGGGTCATAGGGATTGAACTCAGGACCTGGGGGTTATCCCTGAGCTTTTGTGCTCAAGGCTAGCTCTCAACCACTTTGAGCCACAGGTCCATTTCTGGTTTTCTGGTTGTTTGGAGATAAGAGTCTCAAGGACTTCTTGTGCCTGGCTCCATCCACTGTTTTAATGTGTGTGTGTGTGTGTGTGTGTGTGTGTGTGTGTGTGTGTGTGTGTGTGTTGCTAACAATCAAATATAGGTCTTCTTGCATTTCAGTCAAGCATTATAACACTGAGTTACACCCCAAGAGTCTCCTATATATTCTCAAAATTGATAGTTCAAGCCAGGTACAGTGACTCAAACCTGTAATCCTAGCTTCTTGGGAGTCAGAGGTCTGACTCCCAAACTCAGTCCAAGGTTAACAAGATCTCATCTCAACAAAACAAGCTAGGTGCTGAGCTACATGTGGTATACATGCCAGCCCAGCTTTGCGGGAGGATTTAGGTGGGAGTATCACCATCTAATGCTGGCCCCAGACAAGAAAACAAGATCCGATATAAAATAATAAACATAACTAAAAGACCAGGAACAGAAGGCCCTGAGCCCACATCCCAGGACTGACACAGAAAAAAGCAGGTTATACAGTAATTGGTTCCAAAATATCATTTTATATATATATATATATATATATATACATATATATATATATATCACAGCATCGATATATAGATACATATATATCTATATATCGATGCTGTAAACTTTTTTAAAAAAGACATAACAAAGACAGAAGTTGCTACATTTTTATTTAATTCCAGGTATTCAAGCTTTTCCATTTCACCTCAAATATATAATTCAATCAGTAATAGACCCATTTCTTTTTTATGTCTGTATAAGTAAGGATAATAGTGCTTTGGGGAATTTTGAATGACAGCAATCCCATTTATTGATTTACAATCTACTTTATTTGATTTCAATTGTCCCACCTGCAAAATGGGAATTAAGAAAACTTACTTGACTTGTTGCAAGTATTTCCTAACACACAATTTATATCAGTAATTTTAAATATTTCTAGTGCAGTCCTATCTAAATGACCCTTCTGTACTCATGAAGTTATCTTAATCTAATCAATAAAAGAAATACAGAAAACACTGCTTTTTTATTATACCAAAGAGATACTCGACACTCCCTAAACCGTAGCACCTGAGTTCTATGCATTTATACAAATCTGAGAGACACTGAGCCCTGTTGTATTTTGTCTATATATATATATATATATATATATGCCATGCCTTTTTATTGTCCATTTCTAGCCAGGCACCAATGGCTCATGCCTAGCTACTCAGGAGGCTGAGATCTGAGGATCAAGGTTTGAAGCCAGCCTGGGCAGGGAAGTCTGTGAGATTCTTATCTCCAATTACTCACTAAAAAGCTGGAAGTGGAGCTGTGTCTCATGTGGTAGAGGGCAAGCCTTGAGAAAAAAATCCAAAAACTCAGAGACAGTGCCTATGCCCCACGTTCAAGCCCCAGGACTGAAAAAAAAAGTCCTTTTCTTTGCTTTCTTTCTCCTGAAACAATTTGAAAATAACCACCAAATTCATTGTTTATAGTTACATACCACTTTTATACTTGTATCTATCATTTAATATTCTCTCATGATCCTAAGGAATATTTCTAAGGCATTGTCCTCCATGTATATGGCTTCAAACCCAGGATATCATTAGGAGACAATATTCCTGGATTCATATCTAATACATCACCCCCTCCCTGAAATATGGACAGCCAGTTAATCAGCTTAATTTTAATTACTCTCCTGATTTAGGCTAGCAAGTTCAATGGTCTCTAATTGCTACAGTATAACATTTCATGGACTCTAATTGTTCAGGGTTTGAGTGTTCCAACTTTGGAATTTTAATGGTATTAAGCACATAACATTAACCCAAGAAATTATTCCACATAAGCATGCCACTCAGAATCCTCGTCTTAAATATTCAGAGACCTAACACACATTAGTGACATCCTCCATTTCTAGAATATAGATAATGGTGCATTGTATATCTGACCTCATCTCTTGCCTGGATTAGCCTCAATTTATCAGAAATTTGTATGCTTATTAACTGTAGCACTAAAACTATTCCAAGTTAAAAATGAGAGCCCCTACTAGCAAGACTCCATTAAGTAGTGACAGAAGCCAAAAATAGAGCTCAGATCGGAAAGGAAAATCAGCCTTAATTCCATTGTCAGAAGCATAAAGGGCACACTGTTGAGCAATTCTGTTTTGCAACAGTAAGACAGCAATGAAATTATATTCCAATTTATCTTTCTCGAAAGAATACGCGTTTAATGCCTCATGCCAGACTTCAAAGATAAAAGCAATTATTGGAACTCAGGATGGAGCTGACACATAGGCCAAGGACAAAATATACTGAATAATTTGAGACCTGGGCAGTCACATAAATCCAATGTCTCATAGCTTATTTTAATCACATCAACTCAGATCCAAAGGAAATCAATGAATTTGCATGAATATGGGTAAATTGGCTAAAATTTTCCTACTATTTTAAATCTCATCTTAGAAGGAGGAAAAAAAACCTAAAACATAACTAAATAGAAAATTGATATTTTTGAGTCACCTTGACCCTTCCTAATTAAATAGATTTCTTCAGTACAATTAGTGAGATAAGAATTTAGAAGACAGGAGTTTTGAGACGTTAGCTTAACCTAAACAAGCACAATAACCTCACAGGACTGCTTCTTCTGCAACAAGAAGGTAACAAAACTGATTCTTTCCAGACAAAAGATTGGAAAACACCACAATGTCCTTGTTACAGTGTGATCTGCAGTATGGTAACTGATGTGTGTGTGTGTGTGTGTGTGTATGCCTGTGCACCTCTGTGTGTGTGTGTGTGTGTGTGTGTGTGTGTGTGTGGTGTATGTGTTGCTGAAGATAAAACCCAGGGCCTTGTTTAAGTACCCTTCCATTTTCCATTGAGCTACATCTTTGTTTCCCTATTATTTGTTCAAAAGTATTTGGTACTGGAAAATACAGACAATGCATTCTCTTAGCTTATGTGCATCTTGAGCCTGATGAAAGGGAAAAGAGAGTTGGCTAAGCCTTGTCAATTCCAGCTGGCCTCCAACATCAAGGGCAAGGGCAAGAGAGATGTATGGTGAAGAGAATCATGGGAAATGCAACTATCACTTAGCATACAACCTGGGGCAGCCTAACTCAACCCTCCCATCCTCACTCCCACCAATGAATGGAGTAGTTGTGCTACTACTCTAGGATATTGATGAGGGTGCAGCAAAGTCATGGATGATTAGCATGGTAGAATTTCTTCTGAGTCTGCCTGTGTGTGCTGGTTCTGGGGAATGAACTCAGGGTGGGCTTGCTGTCCCTGGGCTTTTGGGCTCAAGGCTAGCACCTTACAAATTGAGTCACAGGTCATCATTCAGTTTTTTGGTGGTTATTTGGAAGTTAAGAGTCTCACAGACTTTCCTGCCTGGGCTGGCTTCAAACGTTGATCCACAGATCTACACCTTGTATAGGTAGGATTATGGTCATGATCCACCACCGGCATCCTGCAGCACAGTGAAATTTCTAATACTAGAGATCCTGATGATCATTGAATCCCTAGGAATGATGCATTTAGTCTCTAATCATAGAATTCTGATTCAAAGAGAATGGTTAACTTGCATGGGTTGTAGTTGAAGTTACAAAATCCCAGTAATTAAAAAAAAAACATATTCTCAAAGCACTTATCAGTGAAATAACAAAATACTGACAATGTTCTAAAACACAGAAAATGACAGCATAGTCGGTATATGGGTTGCAAAAGCCTTCTTCGTTCTTTCTTTCTATGTTCATACATCTGCTGGGTCAGATGTCAGGGCTTCTCATGAGAATTCAGGTTCCTACCTCCAGCATCTGGCAAGACTTCAACTAACATAGTGAGTTCGCAGTCTAGGTCTCAAGATGTCTGGTCATCTCTAGTCTTTCTCTTTCTCTGGGAACCTCGCTCAACCATCATATCACAAAACAATATTAGTTCAGTCAACTCTGGCTATTGGAGAAGGAGTTTGAAAATTATTTCTTCTCACCTAATAAAAATGGTGTCATGTTTACTGAGGACCTTTAGCATTCAGTCTCTCTAATGTTTCCAATGCATTGTAAACACTTTTATTTTTCTCTCAGAAAAGAAAATTATTCAAAC